TTTTGAATTAAACCGTTCGCTCTTGGTCTCGATTCTTACGGAAACGAATACTCGAGTGAGATCGAAGGGGTTAGGTTGGCCGCTCTCTCCGCTGCTGCTCCGCTCACGTAGACGTCCATGAGAAAAACAAGAGGACGAGAAGAGGAGAAAGAAAATCCTGTTAGAAGCGTCGTAAGTTTCTCACGTGGAGGTGGCATATCATCTCAACAGAAATATTGCGGCGCAATTCCCCACGATCGCAACGAATAAAATTACAGACTTGGAAAGTCTGGAAAGAAGTGGTGCTAAACTGGAATACGCCTTTTCTACGTCTTCGCAAACTCCTGAAATAATACCAATGATGAAGCGATTATTATCGTTATTACAACGATCGTAGGTTAATTTTTTCACTCGACAAATATCCGACGCGATAATGCGAATTAACGACGAATCAGCGTTATTAATAAAAGAATAACGAGGGAAAAGTAAGTAAAAAACGACAAACGACGCGTGCTTTTTCTTTTTTCTTTCTTTCTTTTTCTCTCTCTCTCTCTCTCTCTCTTTGTTCATTGAAATACCTTCGCTGACGAGCGTGTAGAATCGTTCGTCTTGGATACGACGACTTCTTCGACAGACACGATCCAATTTAGTTGACCAAAATTCTTGTTCCGAGACTTTGGTTTTCATCGTTCTTCCCGTTACGTCTTTCCTTTCCGCGTTACGATCCAACTGCATAGAGAAACAAAAAGTCTGTCCAAAGTTTGAAGAAGCTTCGTTGGTTTTTAGCGACACTATCGTGTGCCAACTGTCTTTTTCTTCCCAACTACCGTGGCAATAATATGCTGCAACGGCAATGACAAAAACAGGAGATGATATACGGAAGATCCACTCGAGGTAGAAAGCATAAAGCAAGTAAATATCGCAAACGTGCTTACTCGTTTCTTCGGTATCGCACGTTTTCCCAATAACGATTTCACTCTGATCCCACGAAGCACAGCCTATTCGAACGCTGGTTCTTTCGCACTCCTCCCCCCTTCGTTGTTGTTCGTCTTCCTGTTGCTGATAACGCTGTTCTCCCCCGCCGTATTGATGATGATGGACCTGATGGAGATGATATTGTTCTCGAGGTTGTCGTTGTTGCTCGTACGATTCCTTTTGAGTTGCATCCTCGTGCCAAGTGCTCCTCCGTTTGGCGATTCTAGAAGGGCGTCTTTCGTTGCGACGTTGCCGTCGGCGTAACGTCGACGTGCTAGATACGCCGAACGGAGTGGTGAATCCCAAGACGGCGTATCGTCCAGGATTCGGACATTTTCTCTGACGTAGCGAAGAGCCTGGAGGACAGCGAGGAAACGAATTGCGCGATGCGAATGATGCGCGTACAGCGTGCGTTGTATCGTACCGATTGTGCGATTAAGATCAAATGAATTTGGAGAGTCACTTACTTATCAGAGTGGTATACGCCATTGTAGATGTATCTGTAAGGGAACATGCTTCGTCTGGCATTATAGCCTTTTCATCTATAAACGTTTCACGTTCAAAGTGATGAAAAAAAGAAAGAGAAACGAACGATCGAAGCGTTCGAAGAGAACGAAACGTCGAGTTGTACCAAGTACTTACCTGATTGCTGTAATTCTACAACGTGATGATCTCTTTTGTGAAATATCATGCAAACGTAGCCAATATCGCTGCAACAATAGAACACGTTTTAATCCCGTTGTAACCACCCCGTTTTTTCTCGATATACTCTGCATACACTCTGTATGTGTAATACGGTTGCTATCCGCTTACCATCCGCTAGTGACATGAGCGATTAACTTTACTTTGTATCCTTGTGTATTTTCCGAAGGATGTAACCTCTCTAGATTGTGGCAAACAATTTTTTCCTCGTGAAACGTATCCCCGTCGGCGTTTTGTACTTTAACCTTGAGCGTTGCATTTTTATTGGTAAAGTGATAAACTTTAGTACCGTCGAGAGAACGCCAGTCGTGATGTTCGGTGATCCACGAAGGATACTTGCATCTGTTGTGTTCCTTGTCAACTGCGAATGCAAACTCGCATATTTTGGTAAACTCGCGCTTGTAACACCGCCAAAACGAAACGTACGTATCGACGAATTTCGAAAATTAGTCGACAAAATTTTGCGTACCTTTGGTAAGCTTTATAGTCGGCGATCCCTCGGAAACGGTAGTTAGGCCGTTACAAGTTGGTTCGCCCGATTGGGCGAGTAAATAGGCCACCTTCCCTTGATGATGCGTTTTCTCTTCGTACAAGAAACATCTGCTCGAGAAGCAGAGCGGATAGGAACAAAATTTCGACACAGTTGGCATACTAATCCAGCTAACTAATCGCAATACTCGGTCGAGACGAGCATTCGTACCTGTACATTTTTTCCGAACTCGAGATACTCCTTCCTTTCAACGTTCCAACGAGATACTTGTTACGACCATCGTTCCATACAGCGAGACATTGTAACTCTTCGGCTAAAGCGTGAAAGAAGAGACTCGTAAATTCGTAAATTCGTAAATCGTCTGGCATATTTGTGTCCGCATCGAGAGATGATATAATCGAGTTACTTTACTTACTGTTACTTTCGCTCCGCTCTATGTCGGGGCAAGCCTGATATTTCAGCAGCAATTTACTTTCGTCGGTACACTTCTCCCCGAGACTGATGGGCGTTGCACACTCGCCGAAACCCTTGTCGTAGGTGAACGTGAACGATGCTCCGCTAAAAGGACACGGTATCGGCTTGGAATTTACACGAAACATGGAATACAAAGTATCGTCGGACTTGATGTTGGAGCACATTTCGTCCAAGCTGATTTGTTCCGGCGAACACCATCCTGCCGACAGAAACGAACCTTGAGCTTTCAAA